TTTTTTTTTTTAATGAAAAAAAAAATTTTTTTTTAAATGTTTGTTTTTCGTTATACCACTCTGAAAAAAAAATAGAAAGAAAAAGTTTACCACTCTGAAAATTTTAGGGAATTTGCAAAAAATACTGAAGTTTTTTATAAAAAAGAAAAATCGAAAATCAAAAATGTCAATCATCCCGAAATTTTCGTTTTTTTTTCCAAAAAGTTAAAAAAAAAACATTGAATATGAACCCGAATCATTATTTTTATTTTTTTTTAAGTACTTTTAAAGACAAAAATTTCAAAAAAAAACATCTCAAAAAGTCAATTTTCAAAAAAGTTATGGTTATTTAACAAAGAAAAAGCTGTTTTTTGTAATAACTCGTAACTTTTTTTGGTTGGGTAAAAAAATTTGAAAAAATTCTGAAAATTGTTTTCAATAAGGTAGAGAAAGATACCAAAATTTCAGAAAAATCGAAAAGGGTCGGTGTCAAAAGTGGTCGATTTGGCATGGAATGCCCCAGATATACAAATACATGGAGTGATCATATACTGGTACGTGATCATCTATTGGGGCTTTTACCTTACAAGAAAATGTAACAGGATTAAAAAAAAAAAAAAAAAAACACAGCCCGCATAAAAATACTATATATCGTTAAAAATATACTATACAATATATTGCAAATAAGTGATGAATATATGGCGGCAAAATTGTCTATATTGAAAAGTATAACTTTATTCTATATATGGAACCATGTATTTTAAATAATATATATTCGTTAATATATTGTGGTCCATATATCGTTCAGTATATATCATCTGCTATATTACCGAATACATAAAAACTATATATAATATATCATGTACAATATATGAAGAAATATATGTGACACCATATATTTTTCGATACATTATTTTAAGTATAAGGTATCAATATATAAAAAGTTGTACCGATACACATATGGATCGTGCATACATGAAGAAATTATATTGATGAATATATGGGTTTATACATGAGAATAATATATTTATTTACAGTATATTTTTTTTATATTATTTCGGCAAAATTATAGATATGATTTTATATATCGTTCCATATGTCACATTATAATATCAATATATTTAATCATATATTTTGAAACATATAAACCTTTTCTAGTGTTTGAAAACGAGACAACCAAACCATTTAAAAATTATTTGATTTTATTAATGTGAAAAAATTTTTAAAATTGTCTTGTATAACTAAAAATAGTTTACTTACTCAGAATTCACGTTCAAAAATTTAAAATTTTCAGTGGTAAGTTTTTGAATGTACCCAAGCTTCACAAAAAAAAATGTTTACTTTTTGGAAAATTTTATTTTAAAAGAAGTCAGAAATGAATAATTGTCAACTTAAATTCAACAAAACTTTCCTGAAAAAAATTTTATGCCACGTGACTAACTAGAATACAACGCTGAAATTGATTATAGAGAAATACGTGGCAAGAAAACTAAAAATGACGGAAAATATAGAGACCAAAAAGTATTATACTTTTTGATGGAGACTATATATGGTGTATAGTCTCCAAACTGTTGAATAATGTGCAACTCCAACTGCCGAAACTTAAAACTGAATACGTAGATGGAGCCTAAAGGTGCTTTTTTTTTTTTTTTACTTCGAAAGTATATACATTTTTCATTATCTGATGAGGAATTGTATAATTTTAGTTTTACCTATATTTAATGAATTATTAGTTTTTTATTACAATAATCACAAATGAGCGAACACTTTTTGTCAAAAATGAAGAAGAAAAAATTTCAGTTGCATATTATTATTATTAATATTGATATTATGATTATTATTATTATTATAATTTTATTTAATTATAATTTAGTGAATAAAATGTAATGTTTGTTTTCGTTATTGATGTGTGTATATAGCAATAAAATTCATGTATATTGTGTTTTTAAATTAAATAATGCCTGTACTTGGAAAATAATACAACAACTTATTATGTTTATTGTTATTATTATTATTATTATTATTATTATTATTATTATTATTATTATTATTATTATTATTATTATTATTATTATTATTGTTATGTACGTTTTCAGGCATAATTTATCATAAATATTTAACAAAGTCTTTCAGATGGTATATAATATTTATATAGTATTAAATAATTAATATTAATGTGCAAGTGTTCGAATAAATAAAAGAAAAAATGCATGATTTCGTTTAATAATTACTTTTTATTCAATTCATTTTAAAATTATATTTACAGTCTTGTTTAAAAGTTCTTACACGTAAAATTACAAAAACCTAATAAAATTACTGTTAATTCGGCTGATATTAACTTGACAATGTGCCGTTTAATGATGGTCTGTTCGGTATTATGTCTAGAAAAGGCTTTACAATTAACAGCAAGTTGACCCTCTGAATCTTGAGCGTTAACGTCAATACCAGCTTTAAGAATAATGCTGCAACTTTTAGATAAGAGCGCAGGTATAGAAGCGTAAAAATATATAATGAAGAATAAGTCTGTCCGAGAATATTAATATCGGTCACCCCACTGAAAAAAAATTTTTTTTTCTACCAAGGAAATGTTCTCTTATGTCTAAGCCTTGTTGTATACTTTATGATTCCGATGTGTCCCTAGAAAGCGATCGTCTTAACGAAGTTTGTAAATGAAGTTTAGCACCCAGCTGATACAATTTTTGGAACACTTTTAAGTCTCCGTTTTCAACTGCTATATGCAAAGGATTCTCATCCTCAAAAATTAGGTCACCCTTATTTACATCGGCTTTTCGATTAATCAAATAGTCTATTAATTCCTCATCACGGTTCCTCACAGCTATGCATAAAAAAGTTGTATGATTACGAAATGGTCGATCCATATCAAAAAGTGTCATGTTGACGTTGTTCTCTGGTTGATTCAATAATTCCTCGACAACTGTTACATTGATTTCTTTTCCGCTAACTTTCAGATGTTGCGTACATGTAATCATGCTTAAAAGGCAGTCCATCTTATTTTCTATAAAAATATGGTTATTTTGTAAGATTTTTTTTTGATGATACAAGGTAGCTAGCAGACATTTGACAATTTTTTTCCCTTAATATACCAGGTCTAGAAAATTATTTTAAAAAACTGGCATTTATAATTTTTTTTTGAGCTTAAAAAACTGGAAATTTTAAGAATAATTTTTTTTGGTATAATATATTTGTAGAAAAATGATCAAATATCTTTCAATTCTAGTATGATTATTTTTTAATTAAGAATAATTGTGTGTATAAATAATAACTACACAAAATATACAGTGAAATATTATAAGTATAAAATCATGTGATCACATCGATCATGTATTCGAATACTAAAAATCGATGAAATTTTTATATAATTAGGCTTCTTCATTTCAAAACAGTAATTAAAATTTTTCAGATTTTTTAAACTTTACCTTAGAGGAAAAAAGTTCTTACGGTAAATTAATAAAAAATTTTATTAAGGTGTAGAAGATATATATTTACAAAAATATCAGTGAGAAAAATATCATTAGTTACTTGAAGTGTAACAATACTGGAGAAAAAATTACAGGTCTAACAATTTTTAGTAACTTTGTTTTAAAATGAGACAGCCGAACCATTAAAAAATTATTTGATTTTTATTAATGTGAAAAAATTTTTTAAATTGGCTTTTATAATTAAAAATAGTTTACTTACTCGGAATTCACGTTCAAAATTTCAAAATTTTCAGTGGTAAGTTTTTGAATGTACCCAAGCTTCACAAAAAAAAAAAATGTTTACTTTTTGGAAAATTTTATTTTAAAAGAAGTCAGAAATTAATAATTGTCAACTTAAATTCAACAAAACTTTCCTGAAAAAAATGTTATGCCGCGTGACTAACTAGAATACAACGCTGGAATTGAATGTACCGAAACACGTGGTAAGAAAACTGAAAATCACGAAAAATATGGAGTATAGTCCACTATACCAAAATAAAATTGAGATGAAATGTATATGGCATCACGTGCCGTGATTGGTCGAACATATCATATGCATGAAAATATATGCAAACTCTATAGTCAAGGCGCGCGCTTGCGCGCGCAAATTTACATTCTAGTCTACTCTAATAATTTAGATGAAAAATATGAAAATATATCATGTATGCAAACTATTCGTAACGTAATTGGTAAAATACATCATAATATGAAAATATAGATAATTCCATACCAACATTCACACGCGCGTTTGCGCGCGTAACGTATACTATTTAGTGGTGTATAGTCTCCATATACTGTTCATTAATGAGTAACTCCAGCTGCCGAAACTTGAAACTAAATGAGTAGATAAATATATGGATTATTTTTTATTTAATTTATTTTAAAATTGTATTTACAGTCTTGTTTAAAAATTCTTATTATAAAATTACAAAAGCTTAATAAAATTATTGTTTTCATGCAAGATTAATTTCTTCAACTCTATATTGGTAAAATAAGACCATAATTCTCTGATAAAATGCGACGGAAGTCCTAAATTCCATAATATTCCTTCAAAATATTCTTCGACTTCTTCCAAGTACTTTATTCTTCGCTGAACCTTGGACAACTTATAAAACAGCATTCCTCCGTACAACGGATACGCAGTCTTTAATTTTTCTTCATTGATAACTTGATCCAAGCCCGCAAACTTCAAACGGATCGCTAACTTATGAAAAGTCATGTGTAAAACGTGGAAAAATGTGATATTACTCACACCGACTTTATTAATTTTCATTTTTTGGAGCTCTTCCAGGCACGTTTCTCTCAAATCATCGAAGCCTATTTCAACAGCTTGTCGATTTCCCTCACAAACTGCTAACCCGGCTGATATTAACTTGACAATGTGCCGTTTGAGGATGGTATTTTTGGTAGTATCTCTAAAAAACGTCTTACAATTAACAGCTAGTTGACCCTTTGAATCTTGAGCGTTAACGTCAACGCCAGCATCAAGAATAATGCTGCAACTTTCATCGCCGGTATCATTTAAAATATGGGTTGATAGTTTATAATGAAGAATAGTCTGTCCCGCTTTGTTGAGAATATTAACATCAGTCACCGGCTCGTCTAAACTCAGTAAATATTTAAGAATCGATTTTTTATAATGAACGACGTGTATGAGCGTAGATTTGCTAAGAGAGCCCTGAGCGTTGTTAATATTAGCTCCTCTCGCCATTAATAACTTGACAGTGTTGATTCTTCCGAAGGTGACAGCATAAAATAGCGGAGTTATACCATTATGGTGCTTGGCGTCAATTTCCGCGTTATTTTCCAGCAACAATTCTACTAATTCAGTGTTCGAACTAGTAGCAGCGTGGTGCAATAGTCTAAAGCCATGGTCTGGTTCGGTAACATTCACATCTAAGCCCTGTTCAATCAGGAACTTTATGATTCCGTGGTGTCCACAGAGAGCGGCTATCGTCAACGTTGACAAATCTTTTGAAGATGATAAATTAATATCAGCACCCAGGTGATACAATTTTTTGAACACTTCAGTGTTTCCTTTTCCAGCTGCAATAAGCAAAGGATTTTCATTCTCAGGAGGTAAACTTTTATTTACATCGGCTTTTCGATTAATCAAATAGTCTATTAACTCCTCGTCACCGTTCCTCACGGCCATGCATAAAAGAGTTGTATAATAATAGAATTTTGCATCCAGGTCAAAAATTATCATGTCGACGTTGTTGTCAGGTTGATTCAATAATTCCTCGACAACTGTTACATTGATTTTTTTTCCGCGAACTTTCGGAATTTTTGTATTTGCAAGCCCAATTGAAACTCCGGCCATCACTTTGTTTTCTATAAAAATATGATTATTTTGTAAATTTTTTTTTATGACACAAGTTAGCAGACATTTGATAATTGTTATGATTTTTTTTTTAATAAATCAGATCTCGAGAATCATTTTTAAAAATTTTCAAAATAATTTTTTTTGCTATTATTTATTTATTATAAAAATTTTAAAAATCACCAAATATCTCTTAATCTTAGTATTATTATTATTATTTAATTAAAAATGATTGTTTATGTTGAACAATAACTATAGAAAATAAAGTAAAAATATTGTAAATATAAAATCATGTGAATGCGAAAAATCGTATGAGATTTTTTTGTAATTAAGATGCTTCATTTTAAAACAGTAATTGAAATTTTTTAGTCGAACCATTTAAAAATTATTTGATTTTTATTAATGTGAAAAAATTTTTTTAAATGGTCTTGTATAACTAAAAATAGTTTACTTACTCAGAATTCGCGTTTCAAATTTCAAAATTTTCAGTGGTAAGTTTTAAAATGTACCCAAGCGTCGCAAAAAAAATGTTGACTTTTTGGAAAATTTTATTTAAAAACAAGTCAGAAATTAACAATTGTCAACTTAAGTTAAAATCAACAAAACATTCCTGAGAAAAATTTTATGCCGCGTGACTAACTAGAATACAACACTGAAATTGATTGTAGCGTAATACGTAGCAAGAAAACTAAAAATGACGGAAAATATGAAGACCAAAAAGTATTATTATATACTGTAATGCCTCATCTAGATGCATCCAGCAGATGACGCTACGAAATATATACTATTGCAACGAAATATATAAAAATTAAATTAATAATTTATATCCTGTATCCAACCTATAAATAATTATCAATTAATGTTAAAAGAATAAGATTTTATAAAATAGTAATATTATTAAATGATATTTATCTCTTACATTAACAATTAAACTATTTCATAGTTTTAATAAATTATAGATTGATAGAAATAGTAATAAGCTTAATCTAATTTGCAAAGTACGAATATTAATCAACTGCAATATATATAATTTATAAATAAATGTTTGTAAATATAATAGAAAATATTATATATTAGTGTGAAAATCATTTATATGTAGTAGAAATATGTGTACTTATATATGTACAAGAGTGGATATATGTATGGGAGTTATGGTGGGAGAAGAATGGAGTTTGAAGCTCTCCGGAAAAACTATGTAACGACACTTCTTATCGAGAGCTTAGATTGCTAAGATCACGTCATTGTAAACCTCAATTTTATATTTTGAAGCTTTTTAATATTTTGTCAACTTGAATAATAAATTAAAACCAACTAAATAATTTTGATCAAAATTAAATAACGTCTAAATAGAATTCTTTTATTTAAAATTATTCCTTTCCCGCGCTGAAACCGAGTATTTTAATACTCCCGGGCGAAAGAACTACAGTAAGTAAAGTTTTCAATAAATAAAAATAACATCCCCTAGATGGAAGCATAACAATATGGTGTATAGTCTCCATACTGCGCACTAATGTGCAACTCAAGTTGCCAGAATTTCAAACTGACTACTTAGATGGAGCCTACAGGTACTTTTTTTTTTTTCTTCGAAAGTACAAATTATTCATAATCTGATGAGTAATTGTGTAATTTAAGTTTTACTTATATTTATTACAATGAATTATTAGTTTTTTATTACAATAATCACAGATGAGCGACCATTTTTTGTCAAAAATGGAGAAGAAAAAATTTTAGATTCATATTATTATTATAAATATTTATAATATGATTGTTGTTATTATAATTTAAGTTAATAATAATTTAGTGAATATTAATGTAATGTTTATTTTCGTTTTCAAAGTATGTCTATAGTAACACAATCCATGTATATGTCTTTTTAAATCAAATAATGCTTTACTTGAAAAATTGTTCAACAATTTTTTATGTTCATTATTATCATTTCTATTTTGTACATTTTTAGGCATAATTTACAAAGTCTTTCAAATGGTATATAATTTTTATAGTATTAAATAATTAATATGAATGTGCAAGTGTTTAAATAAATAAAAAAAATGCATGATTACATTCAATAATTATTTTTTATTTAGTTTATTTTAAAATTTCATTTACAATTAAATTTGTTTAAAAATTCCATCATACACGTAAAGTTACAAAAACCTAATAAAATTATTGTTTTCATTGACGACTAATTTTTTCAACTGTATATTAGTAAAATAGGACCATAATTCTCTGATAAAAATCGACGGAAGTCCTAAATCCCATAATATTCCTTCAACAAATTCTTCGACTTCTTCCAAGTATTTTATTCTTCGCTGAACCTTGGACAATTTATAAAAAATCATTCCTCCGTACAACGGAAACGCAATGTTTAATTTTTCTTCATTGATAACTTGATCCAAACCCGCAAACTTCAAGCGGATCGCTAAATTATGAAAATCTATGTGTAAAACGTTAAAAAATGTGATATTACTCAAACCGACTTTATCAATTTTCATTTTTTGGATCTCTTCCAGACAAGTTTTTCTGAAATCATCGTAGGCTTTTTCAACAGCTTGTCGATTTCCCTTACAAACTGTTAACCCGGCTGATATTAACTTGACAATGTGCCGTTCAATGATGACATGTTCGGTATGATGTTTAGAAGACGTTCTACAATTAACAGCAAGTTGACCCTTTGAATCTCGAGCGTTAACGTCAACGCCAGCATTAAGAATAATGCTGCAAGTTTCAGCGCAGGAATAGAAGCTTGACAATTTATAATGAAGAATTGTCTCTTTTGCGTTGTTGAGAATATTAACATCAGTCATCGGCTCGTCTAAACTCAGTAAATATTTAAGAATCGATTTTCTATAATGAACGTCGTGCATGACCGTAGATCTTCTATTAGAGCTCCGAAGGGTGTTAATATCAGCTCCTCTTGCCATTAATAACTTGACATTGTTGATTTTTTCGGTGGAGATAGCGCACAAGAGTGGAGTTTCACCATAATGTTTCTCGGCGTCAATTTCCGCGTTATTTTCCAGCAAAAATTCCACTAATTCAGTGTTCGAACTAGCAGCAGCGTGGTGCAATAGTCTAGAGCCACAGTCTGGTTCGGTTACATTCACATCTAAGCCTTGTTTAATCAGGTACTTTATGATTTCGAGGCGTCCACAGCGAGCGGCTATCATTAACGGTGACGAGCGTATTAAAGATGATAAATTAATATCAGCACCCAGGTGATACAATTTTTTGAACAATTTGGTGTCTCCTTTTAAGGCTGCTAAATACAAAGGATTTTCATTCCCATAAGCTGAATCCTGATCTAGATTAGCTTGTCGATAAATCAAATAGTCTATTAATGCCTCGTCTTTCTTCTTCACTGCCATGCATAAAAGAGTTGTATAATTAGGGAATGGTCGATCCTGGTCATAAACTATACTGTTGACATTGTTTCCTGGTTGATTCAAGAATTTTTCGACAACGGTTACATTGATTTCTTTTGAGCTGATTTTTGGAATTTCCATACATGCAAGTTTATATGAAAGGTTGGGAAGCATTTTGTTTTCTAAAAAAATATGGTTATTTTGTAATATTTTTCATGACACAAGTTAACAGACATTTTAAAATTTTTTGATTTTTTTATAATAAACTGGGTCTAGTTAATTATTTTAAAAAACTTACATTTGTAATTTTTTTTGAGCTTTGAATATAGAATTTTAAAAAATAATTTTTCTTGCTATAATTTATTTATTATAAAAATTCTAAAAATTATCAAATATCTCTCAATTTTAGTATTATTATATTTTCATTAAAAATAAATGTTTGTATTAAATAATAACAATACAAAATAAAGTAAATATAAAATCATGTGAATGTCAAAAATCGTATGAAATTTTTATATATAGTTAGGCTGCTTCATTTCAAAACAGTAAATGATACTCTTTAGATTCTTTAAAATTGACCTTAGAAGAAAAAAGTTCGAGCGGTAAATTAATGAAAAATTTAATTGAGGCACAGAAGATACAATATTTTGTATATTAACAAAAATATCGGTAAAGAAAGAATTTTTAGGTACTGTATTTTAAAATGAGACAGCCGAACCATTAAAAAATTATTTGATTTTTATTAATTTGAAAAAATTTTTAAAATTGTCTTATCTAATTAAAAATAATTTACTTACTCAGAATTCGCGTTCGAAATTTCAAAATTTTCCTTGGTAAGTTTTTAAATGTTCCCAAGCTTCTTATAAAGAAATGTTGACTATTTGGAAAATTTTATTTAAAAAAAAGTCAGAAATTAACAATTGTTAACTTAAATTCAACAAAACACTCCTGATTAAATGTTTATGCCGTGTGGTTAACTTGAATACAATGCTGGAATTGACCACAGCGAAACACGTGTTCAGAAAACTGAAATTCATGAATAATATAGAGACTATATGGTGTATACATTAGTCCATACTGTGTAATAATGTGCAACCCAAGTTGCCAAAATTTAAAACTGAATACGTAGATGGAGCCTACAGGTATTCATTATCTATCAGGTATTTTTCACTATCTGGCGCGTAATCTCGTAATTTTAGTTTTACCCATATTTAATACATATGCAATGAATTATTAGTTTTTTATTACAATGATCACAAATGGGCGACCAATTTTTGTCAAAAAAGAAAAAGAAAAAATTCTAGATGCATATTATTATTATTAATACTAATATAATGATTATTATAATTATTATTAGATTTAATAATAATGTTGTGAATATTAATGTAATGTTTGTTTTCGTTATTAAGGAAATCCTTTCGCTCCAGTTGAGTCAAAACAATTGTAGTAGTCAATATACGATAAATTAAAAAAAGAAACCCATAAAAATTCCTAAAATTAAATAATAAATTGTATATGAGGCATTAATCGTTGAAATTTTGAAAATAAAAAAAAAATTAGTTAAATATACAAAAATTAATTTTACTCTTTCAAATCAACTGCTAGTAACCTGTCCGTGAATTGGCAACGCTGTACTTCGGTTGTTTACATTATCATTTGCACAATATAACCTTAACTACGTTTAAGTTTTTGCAGTCAGTGTAAATAAATAAATTAGTTTGAATTTATTAAATGGTCTGAAGCTCGCGCGCTACGCAACGTTGCCAAATATTTTGACTCCATATATTAATGTAGGTTACTTGAGAATTTTTTGTGATTTTAAAATATTAATTTCTCAATAAATATCTCGGTAACTGATATATTTTATTACAAAAAAAGAAACCTGAATATTTCGAAAATCTAATTTTTAGTTTTTTTTACTTCATCTAATCCATGACTGATAGTATAATTCGAGAAATACTGCAAACGTCTGACTTTCTCGTAAGACTCTGAACAAATACTAACATTTAAAAATTTTATTTTTTCAAAAATTTGTCCGGTAAAGTATAATTTAAACCTCACTATTAGATAAATAAGGACCTTAACTATTAGAAAAAAATTGAATTTACTCATAATCTAATATTTTTTATTTTACATTGGCGGCGAAAGGACCTTAAAGTGTGTATATAGCAAAAGAATCTATGTATATTGTCTTTACGTTTTCAGGCATAATTTGTCATTATTCCACAAAGTCTTTCAAATATATATAATTTTTATAGTATTAAATAATTAATATCAATGTGCAAGTGCTCAAATAAATAAAAAAAAAAATGCATGATTTCATTCAATAATTATTTTTTATTTAATTTATTTTAATATTTAATTCACAATCAGTCTTGTTTAAAAACTCTATCATGCAAGTGAAACTGCAAAAACTCAATAAAGTTGTTGCTTTCATGCATGATTAATTTCTTCAGCTCTATATTGGTAAAATAGGACCATAATTCTCTGATAAAAGTCGCCGGAAGTCTTAAATCCCATAATATTCCTTCAACAAATTTTTCGACTACTTCCAAGTATTTTATTCTTCGCCGAACCTTGGACAATTTATAAAATAGCATTCCTCCGTACAACGGATACGCAGTCTTTAATTTTATTTCATTGATAATTTGATCTAAGACCGCAAACTTCAAGCGGATCGCTAAATAATGAAAACTCATGTGTAAAACGTTAAAAAATGTGATATTACTCATACTGACTTTATTAATTTTCATTTTTTGGAGCTCTTCCCGACGCGTTTTACTCGAATCATCGAAGCCTATTTCAACAGCTTGTCGATTTCCCTCACAAACTGTTAACCCGGCTGATATTAACTTGACAATTTGTTGTTTAATGAGGATATGGATGATATTATGTTCAGCAAACTCTTTACAATTATAACAACAAGTCGACCCTCTGAATCTTGAGCGTTAACATCGATGCCAGCATCAAGAATAATGCGAGAACTTCTAACGCAGATATAAGCTCTATCACGGCTTGATGAATTACTATGAAGAATATTCTGTCCCGCTTTGTTGAGAATATTAACATCAGTCATCGGCTCATCTAAACTCAATAAATATTGAAGAATCCATGGCTTAGAATAGATGTCGTGCATTAACGTAGATCTCATAATAGAGTATTCAGCGTTAATATCAGCCCCCGCCGCCATTAATAACTTAACAATATCAATTCTTTCATTAAAGATAGCACACAAAAGCGGAGTTTCACCATTACGTTTCTTGACGTTAATTTTCGCGTTATTTTCCAGCAAAATTTCTACTAATTTAATGTTCGAATTAGCAGTAGCGAGATGCAATAGGCTAGAGCCACATTCTGGTACCCCTACATTCACATCTGAGCCCTGTTCAATCAGGAACTTTATGATTCCGAGGCGTTCAAGGCAAGCGGCCATAATTAACGGTGACACAAATTTTGAAGATAATGAATTAGGGTCATTCCATGTCAAATCGACCAATAGTTGGAATCGACCCCTTTCGATTTGGACGAATTTTGGTCAGAAGTTTTCTTTTATCATATAACGAAGTTCTGCCAAA